AATTAAGTCAGAATTTAGTAATGCTCAATATAATATAATGCTCAATATAATAATAATTAGACACCACTAATTTACTTTTGGGAAAAAATGAATAAACACAAACCATTAAAAGTCTCTACACACACTGTAACTTGTGTGACTATATGAAAACGGGCTTCTAATGGTAGACATGAAGGAGATAACTTCCAGTGGGAGAGACAGTCCTGACAGCGCTCAATGGCTGCACAAAACTTGTGTTTACTTATCATGTCACCTTTTAAAATTACTTTATTTAAAATTTTGATTTAAATTTTTACCAATATGCTTTCATTTTATACATTAACTTTGAGATTTTAACTCATGCAGATAGTGTGCATTGACCAAATTAACAATCAGCATTTTCTTTTTCTTTTGTTTCCCTACATTTGTGCTCTTCTCATCCAGATATTAATAAATTACTTTAAAGAATTTTAGAAATAATACAAAATTAAATAGGAATGTGAAAATTCTCACATTGGGCCTTCTACACATGTGTCCACCATCGGATGCATTCACAACAACAGATAGCAACATTGGTGCATCATTATTGACCAACTACAATGCTGTACAACACGCATATCTCTTTACTATTTCCTCTGGAAGCTGGTACATGGATAAGCATGCATACTTAAAATTCCACAAAATGACCTCACTGCCCTTCTTCTGTGTCTGTTCCTCACTCTGCTTCCCCTTCTGAACTTCTGGTAACCACTAGTTTCATTTATTGTCTACATCACGTTGTCTTTCCCAGATGCCATGTAGCTAGAACCATACAGAACACATCCTTTGAGGGTAAATTTCTTCATTATCAGTATTCATTTATGTGACTTTGGAATCACATGTGATCTGTGACTGTCAAACCTTCACAACATTTGTCTCTGCCAGTGTGTCCCACTGTTGGTTCTTAAATTATTTCTTTTACTGTTTGAGGTTATGGTATAATTATATCATTTCTCCCTTTCTTTTTCTCCCTCCAAACTCTCCCATATGCCCCTCTCAGCTCTTTCAAATTCATGGCATCTTTTTTCATTCATTTTTGTTACATATTTGTAAATGTATAGACACATATATTCCTAAATACAACCAGATCATTCTGTACAATGTTACTTATATGTATGTTTTCAGGGCTGACAGTTTTGAATCTGCAATTTCCAGGTAGGAAGATGACTTAGCATGTAGTGGTACTTGCTACTACTTCTGGTGACTGATTTCAATCCCAGAAACCCACAGCTTGAAGGAGGGAAATATTGAATCCATAATTTGTCTTCTGACCTCCACATGAGTGCTGTGGTATTTTATTGGCTTCTCAGCATTTTAATTTGCCACGTTTCCATCAAATTTTTAAATAAATGGTCCATTTACTTAAAAAACATAATGAAATATTTACAGTGGTAATAACGTCTAGTAAATGAGAGAAGTGGGCGCATGTGTCTCTTTGCAGCTTTCTGTCTTCTGCTATGTAGTTGGAATACTTCACTATGAAAATTATTAGGAACCAAAACACCAGAGTGGTAGCTATACATTTTCTCTTTTAAACAGTCCAAACCTTTTTTTTTTTTTTTTTTTTTTTTTGAGACAGGGTTTCTTTGTGTAGCTTTGCACCTTTCCTGGAACTCACTTGGTAGCCCAGGCTGGCCTCAAACTCACAGAGATCCACCTGGCTCTGCCTCCCGACTGCTGGGATTAAAGGCGTATGCCACCACCGCCCGGCCTAAGTCCAAACTTATTTAACATGCTATTTTTCTCTTTTTGCCTGGATTTCCAGAAACATGTTCCAATTCGTAACTACTAGCTCATACATTGGCTTGTTTGCTTAATCAACCTTTAATATAATTATTCTTTTTCAAAAGATGCTTTTAAAACTATATCAATATATGGATTTTAGAACAAGAATCTATAAATCTTTTTCTAAAACAGCACATTTGCAAATTCATATAATGATAATTATAATATGCATATGTATCATATGCATCATAATATGAATGTGTGTGAAAGAAAGAGATGAGAGAGAAAAAAAGAAAGAGAGAGGGAGGGAGGGAGGGAGGGA